GAACCATTAATCCTCAAGATTCACAGTTCGGTACGCTAGCTACTAGGCCGCGCCCGATCCAACGTATTTGGAACATGTCAGTATTTTAATTAAGCAGTTTTTAACTTTAAACACGCGTGCTTTGGTTGCATGGCTTCTACCTATCTGTTAATGTGAGTTCAACAGGTAGTAATAAACCAACACTAATACCGAACACTCGCATTCTCTCAGACAAACTGAATTTAACATTTGCCAGAATAGAACATAACCGAATAAGTAGAGCTGTTTAAACATTTGTTTAACAACAAGTAAAAGCTTGGAATGGTCTATTCTTACATTGGGTGTGTGTGTGTGTGTGTCTGTGAGCCAGACTAGTTTCGGAGAATTCCACTCCTCATCAGTGACCCTGGACACTACCACCAATGAAATATCAGACCAAACCAAGCCTTTATACTAGTGAAATTGTAAAATAGTCACTAGATACTCTGTATTGTCTTGATGTCTTGCAAATCCTTTAAATATTTAGGTATATATGTAATGCTAAAAGTACTTCCTTTGTTTCGTAAACAAACAAAAACAAAAATATTTATTTTCATTTCTCCAAATTTTAACGTGTATTTTCTGAAATCAGCATTTAAAAACCACACACAAAAAATATATATTTATCTCTATTTGAACGCGCTGCATGAAATAGAAAAGATCCAAAGAAACATTGATTATTGTCAACGGATTTTTAAAATTTTAATTAAATTCTGGTTTGGTCAATCTGCCATTATTTGGATCAGACTTGTATAAATTTAAAATGTGGTTTACAAAACCACGGATAACTCCCTATGTTTGTTTGTCTGTTTTGAATTTCGCGCAGGAGGGCTATCTGCGCTAGCCTTCCCTAATTTAACAGTGACAGACTAGAGGGAAGGCAGCTAGTCATCACCGCCAACTCTTGGGCTACTCTTTTACTAACGAATAGTGGGATTGACCGTCACGTTATAACGCCCCCACGGCTGAAAGGGCGAGCATGTTCGATGTGACGGGGATTCGAACCCGCGACTCGCAGATTGCGAGTAGAACGCCCTAACCACCTGGCCCTCCCGGGCCACCAAGTTATGTTAGCAGTAAAAGCGCTCGTATCATCCTGTTTAAGCGTTTTGTATAAAGTACTTTTCTAACCGGCTGTATGCAGAATCATTTGTATGTAACTACTAATAAATGTAGAAAGTGGCTTGTTTTTTTTTTATCTATACTGAAATGTTAGATTCTTACAAACTCGTGTAATTAGTGCCGAAACTGTATAAATATTATTTAAGCCTTCTATTTTTTCGGTAAAAACTGGTGTTTGTGTTCTGCTTGTGAACTGTGTTGCTTTATAATAAATGTATTCTTATACATTTCTTTCTTAAGAGATGAAACTGAAGTTAATACCACGTTTCTTTGTCAAGTATGGATGCTAT